CAACAGACGAAGTAGAGCCGGAGTCACCCAGAGATAACTTCTTCTCAAAAGATAAGTTCAATTCTTCGGACAGCAACCAAGAGGAGACCTGATTAAACGTGACAGTGGCAATATTGGTGCGAATATTTTGCTTGAGGGAGGCATAGTCAGCCGGTAGACCACGAAGAACACAGAGAATAACATCTTGTTCAGAAATTTCTTCATGAGCCAGTTTGAGAGACGACACAATCGTGAGAACAGTGTCCAAATAAGATTGCATCGAATCGGTCCCTTTTGTAACACCATGTAATCGCTCCTTCAGTTGAAAAATATGAGTTCGGGAAAGAGAATTGTACCGTTGTTCTAGATGATTCCAGATTGCAGCCGAGGTGGGAAGAGCATGAATATGTGTTTGAACCGTGGGTGAGACAATAGCAAGGAGACAGGGCCGAATCTGAGCATCAATAATATTCCAGGATTCATAGGCCAGATTTGGTTTCATGACCGGCGGTTGATCCTTGCCGGGTGCCGCAGCCTTCTCATCAAGGACAAAAGACGGAGGAGACGATTCAGACCCATCCACGTAGCCGAGAAGACGATGAGCGAGGAGATTGGCACGGACGGTAGCCGACCAAGAGGGATAATTGGTGTCATCAAGCTTGACCGGGGTTAGGGATTGGAGATTCTGGACAAACAACTTGAGACCCGTAGGAAGACGATCCATAGGATCAGACGAGGTAGAAGCCATGGCTGTGCACGGCGTGATCGGCAGTGGAGAGATCGGCTCTGCCGATTTTTTTTTCGGTGATTAGCGCAGGAAAGGAAGAGAGAGGTTAGGATCTTTGTGCTCCGATACCATGTTGATTTAATAATCCAACTCAACTGAATAATTGTATACATGGGTGTTTATATAGGTGAGAATCCCTACATGAATTAGGATTCACCAAATATGGAAACTAACATAAATGACAATTCTACCATAACTACACTTCTTGCCATATATGCCTAACATTTACTATTATTGTTATTATTTTTTGTTTTATTTGTGTCTTCACTGTAAGAATTTTCACAAAGGAAAATCTTTCCATTCGACTACTTAAAAGGCGGCTATCCATTTCAACTGTATGTTGATCTGAATATATACCAACTAGTGTTTTATTATTATTCATATAAATTACATCTATTCATGCTCAGATTGACGTTTGCCAATGAAGTGTGGGGAGAAGTCTGCGTCAGTTTTAGCCCGTCCCAAAATTTCCTAGAGGTTTGCTTTCTTAATAATGACAAGGCACTATTGGGTGGCGGATACCAAGTGGAGATTATCACCCAATTAAGATATTGTGGACCATCTAGCTAGTCGCCTTTGTCAATAGGAACAAAGCAGAGTATGTATTCTTTTGCCATCGATCATGCACATGTGAAGAATCACCTTTGGATTTTTCTTAATCTACGCATTCCTAATGATATGGACGAAGGAGAGGCCGAATACTAGCTATTTCTACACTACATACAACAAGCTTCCAATCCAATTCTTGAGACAAGGTTTAATTTGTTGTATGTTATGTGCAAGAGGTAAGTTTGTTGTTTCTGATAATAACAACCTCATATTTGTGCTTATGTTTTCACTTGCTCAGTTTCTAGCTCCGCAATCGGTGATGCCATCCTCCTTTTCAAGCTTAATGGAGACATGAGATTCAGTGACGGATCAAAACTTCAAAACATCCGGAACATTATTGATATTGAAAAACTTTTCGATGCCGAGTTGGCTGGAACTAAGAGGTTGAAGGATTGCACATTGATCATGACAGAGGGGGATTTTGGCAAAGCACTTGTGGTAAGTTTTGCATCTAGACTCGGTTTCCCCCCTCCCCCTAGCTCTTTCTTTGCCTCTCTTATTATGTGAATATATTTCTTTTACTTAGATGAATGGCTTGCGTGCTGGTCTCTCATATGAGGAGAGAAAGCTCTTTGGGGTCTACCCACTAAGGGGGAAACTACTCAATGTGAAGCAGGCCACACACACCAAGATAAATGAATAACAAAGAAGTTGAAGAAATTAAGAAAATAGTGGGCCTTAAACAAGGGGTCAACTACCTTCAATCCTGGAAGAGAGATTTGAGATATGGTCATATCTTAATTATGACAGATCAGGTATTAATGATTATTCTTTTATTTTATTAACTTAAGAGGACCAAGTGAACGTCGTCTAGTTTTGATTCGCTTGAAACCTATACCACACTCGAATTTTCAAATAAACCCAGAGAGACTGACCATGGATATCCAAAACACGTAACATCAAATAAGTTGGCACACCAATAACATTTATGTCATGGATTACCCGCACTACAAGAAATGTAGTCTTTAACCACACTTAAAATGGTGAGTAAATTTCATAATTGGTTCTTTATAACAGGGAGGTTTCCATATTTAGTCCTCTATTATCAAATATTACCCCGTAGCCCTTTTTTTAAGGATGCATTTCCACAAATAGTCCTTTTTGATCTTCTGTCATGTTGGTGTTAATTTAAAAACTAAAAGAATAATTTGACATCAACATTATGTCTAGTGACGTGTTCTGATATTGGTTAAGCGGATAACACAAAATAATGACTATGATTGTGGGCTAGGATTCCAGCGAAAAACCACATTTGTAGACTATGGTTGTAGTAAAAAGCGACTGTAATTCACAAACAACGCAAACAGAACGGCCTTCAGAATTATGTATGACAAAAATATATATTATCATTGTGAAATTACACATTTAGCCCTCAAATTAACACCAACATGATTGAAGATCAAAAAAGGACTATTTGTGGAAAGATACCCAAAAAAGAAGGACCATTAGAGTAATATTTGATAATAGAGGACTAAATAGGGAAACCCCCCTGTTATAAAGGACCAATTATGGAATTTACTCTAAAATGGTTGTTCGTCGCATATATAAGTTCGGGAAAAACTTTTTGTCGCACATGAGCTATGTGTGGCAACTGACTCTGTGGGGAAATTTTTGTCGCACTTTTAATAAGTGCGGCTAATGAAAATGTTAGACACACTAATAAGTGTAGTTAATATTTAATTTTGCCACATTTATATGTGTGCTTATACCTCCACCCACTTATATACGTGGCTAATCTATTTTTTTGCCGTATTTATGTGTTTTTAAAACACCACTTGTACTAAAATTCAAACATTTTTTAATACTTTAAATTCATAAAAAGCCTATGTGGGAATCGAACCCACATCTCCGTGCACTTTTGCACATGGTGCTCTACCATTGAGCTAATAGGCTAGGAAAATAGTTCTAATAAACTGAACTGATTGTCTCCTTTTGATAGCCTAGCTCTTCGGGATAGAGGTTGCCAGTTAGTTATAAAGTGTTCTAGTTGGTACTTCATCATCCGTTTCACAAATATTTACTAAGGCTGGACTACATTATAAACACAAATTTAGTTTATGTACAATTCTTCAAAGAAATAGCAGAAACTGTGAATTAAGCAAATGCTCATGATTACCAAAGCTTAACTGAAGTTTTAGACATTAAAATTTATATTACTGAGATATGGTGACCAAAAAGAATGCAAACTGTACTAACTAAAGGTTGTCATATTTGTTCCGAGTGGAGCCATTCATGTAGATGATTTATACTATTTTATGTTGCAGAGTTACACATTATATACCTGGATTCACACTTATTATAGAGGTGTGCATGGAGATCATCTAAAACTCTGTAAAATAGATTTCCACGAAGCTTAGTAAACTCAGATCTGACATCCTGTAGAGCAATAACCTGGGGAGGAGAGCAAGTGTGAGATCACTTTACCATGTTTTCAAAATAAGCATGGAGTAACAAATGAAAAGAAATGAAGTTATATGTCAAAAAACCAAAACCTTTCTATACTATGTGTGACCTCCGTCCCAGTGTATTTGTCCAGTTTGACTTTTTCGAGTCAAACTGGACAAACTTTGAACTCCAATTATTCTTAATTTATATTGCATATTAGCATAATGAAATACAATTTTGAAAGTTCTCAATATGATAAATCCAATAAAGTCATTTTTTATGTTAAAATACACTGGGACAGAGGGAGTAAATAAATATAGATAGCCGCAGTTAAATGAAATCCTTAGCTTTCTAATAAAATGAGAAGAATGGAGTCCTATATTAAACTTCTAAATAAAACAAAACATATATGCCATGATTTAAAAAATTGATTGCAGAATAAGTCATATAAGATGCTTTCAAGATAATATGTCTTAGTGAGCCATCAAAAACTGAAAGAATTAAAAAATGAAAATTATTTTAATTTCTAGAGGACTAACCGTCTGAAGGCCCTCTCTTTCGAGCATGAGAGTTGATTGAACGTGCAACTGCACTGCAACATAAAACTTCTTTTCAGCAACTATATTCTCAATCTAAGCTGGAACCTGAGTGGCATAATAATTCAATATGGTGGAAGGGCACACCTGGAGCGACCACCCAACTCCCAAAGCTCTCGTTTTCAGGTACCCCAATCTTCTGTACCAGGTTGAATGGAATCCCACATGAGACCACGATGCGTGAAACAAACCATTGTTGATAGTGTCCCATAACCGCTTGCTTTGGAGTGCAGTGCTCAACAGGGGGTGAAAATCCAGGAGGAAATTTAGTCTCCGGTAGGGGGTCATGCCCATTCCCCCC